CTCACAGACACGGAAAACAAACTTACGGTTACCAAAGGGGAAAGGCGGGGAGGGATAAATTAAGAGTGGATGCTTTTTATTTCCAGGCTTCGGGCCCCTTGAATGAAGCAAAAGGCTGCAAGCATCACAGATTCATACATATCTCCACCAAAATCTACTGCCCTGCCCACAAAACTCCCCTGGGAAGCAGTGTCTTTTCGTCCCTTCCCTGTGTCCCCTGAGGTGGGCACTCCTCCAGTGATGACACTTTCTGTGTCCGGCCCTCCCTAGGACTCTGGGAGTGTGGGTGGGGAGTTTCGTTAAGGAAACACTCTTACCAGAGAACTTCCATCCCGGACCACCTGGCTTCCACAGTTTCAAGCCTTTCTCTCTGTGCCTAATTGACCTCTTTTATTCTCAACTTCTAGTCCCCTCTCCCATTATGGCTGCCTGCCCTCTGAATTAGATGCAAACATTGATTTCTTGCAATCTCTTATCTCAGCTGGGTTTCCCGCATGCTGATTTCCTCTCTCTTCCATTAATTTGTGATTCTTTGAACAGCTTTCCTGGTAACATCCCTGCATTCTCTGCCAGGCTCCTGGTCCCCTCTCCGGGCAAATAACCCCTCCTAGTCTGCACTGGAAACAAGAACCAAGACTGCATCTGAACATCGACGCCCCCCAGGCTCTGACCCCCAAAGAGAAGCACTTTCTCAATTTAACAAGCGGTGCTCTAAAAGATCTAGTCCCATAGCTCCAGATAGAGAATCAGGTTAGGGAGTCTCTTATCCATTCATTCATTCAATACATATGGATGGAACTTTTTACTAGGCACTAGGCAAATTTGCCTCTGTGGAGGCTTTCGTCTCGTATACAAGAAGCTCAGTAGAGGGCACTCCTGTATTATAATAGCTAAGCACAGAGGACAGTGGACCTGAACCCAAGGATCCCATCAGAAAAGGCAAATAATCACACACACTCCGTGCCTGTGGACACACACACACCCATGTTCTGAGATTTATCCCTATCCACACTCAACTTTGCATCTTATGTCATCAACCTTCCTAAAGCAAAGACAGTAACGATGGAATATATTGCTCTCTTTGCTGGATCCACTCAAAAGTTATTTTGATTGGTGGCACACTTGATTTCTAAGCCCTTCAAGGAAAAAACAAAGAGAATATTTTAGGCTACAATTTCAAAATCACTGCCAAGTGACCGCATTCTGTTTACTTGAACTGAGTTCTTTTCTGAGTGTAGAGTCATCTCGATGCAGAAGAAAAGGGAAAGGAAATAACGCTGTTGCTGCACGTGAAATTCATCTCAGGCAAGACACAGGTACATGTTATTCTTTGAGAAATGTCTTATTCCGATTAATTAAAATGAAGAAAGTAGCACACTGCAGCCAGTATTTTCCACTCCATGGAATACTTGCCGACTGGTCGACGGTTGAGACTCAAACGACTGTGTCCATTATAAAACTGTTTTGTTGTTGTTGTTGTTGTTGTTGTTGTTTTGCAGGTATCACAGGTAACCTTTATAGGACACTTACTGTGTGCCAGGCACCGCGCCAAACACTTGACGTGTATTATTTCATTTCATCTTCACAACCTCCACCCGTGTTAGATACATTTTAGAGATGGGGAGCTCGCGAAATGGTAACCTAGATATTGCCACGTGGCTAGAATGTGGTGGGAAATGTATAGCCCCCATCCAGTCTGTCCACACAGCCCAGACCGTTAGCGGTGACACTTCTGTTCATGGCTCGAAGTGGGCCTTGCATTTCTGACGTCTTGGTAAACATTACTTTCCTTTTCATCGTTCCGGGGGTTCTCAATCGAAATTCATATCGGAAGGAAAGGTGACTCAGCTAAATGACATTTTTACGAGTTAGAAGTTAAATTATCCACTGTAAATTCAACTTGTCACCTGGTGAGTGAAATTAGACTGTAGCACGGTTGCTATTCGATTTTGGTGAGTTGCTGTTTAATGGCCCTGTTCTCGGAGGCTCCATTAATGTCTATTAATCTGCTTTTGCTACTGGACAACAGACAGCCCTTTATTACTAAACCCCATCACAGGGGCTGCAAAGTGTGGTGCTGCAGTCAAAACCCCAGCCGGCAGGAATTAGTTCAGCACCAGGGCAACACATCACAGGTTTTACTAAAATATTGCCCTCCTACCATCCTTAAAATAAAAGCAAGACCTGACAGGGGATAGATGCAAATAAGAGAAAGGCATCCTACAGCAAGATCGTCTGGGGGAGCCAGATCAAGAGGGTTCCAGTCTGGTCTTTTTCCAGATGCCCAGGTCCCAGGTTACTAATCTAAGGCCCATCTCGGGCTGGCACCCAGCCTAGGTCCCGTCTAGCACAGAGGAAGGAGAGAAGAAAGTCTTGCGAGCAGGTGGCCATCTATGGGACAGGCCTTGAAGAGAGCCAGAAAAATCACTCCAAAAACACAAAATCCTGTCTTCCCAGGGTTCCCAATAACTGAAATGAAATCATTCTAAATTACACCGACATCTGTTATTTTTGCTTACTCACCCCCATTAGCCCTTTAGGGAAGAGATGCCTGATTCTTCTTTGGGAACCACCCCTCCCCAGGTTTAGCCCCTGGGCCCCATCCATCAGTGTGTTCCATCCCTCTGGACAGTAGTACTTGATGGCCGGACGGGCCAGAGAGATGTGTCCTTCAGGCTTTTGTCCCAGTTATTGGGAAAGAGATGCACCTTTTTCTTTCTAGGATCTACACCAAGGATGTGAGCCCAGGGCTGCCAGTAGGAAAACAGAAGAGAGATGGAGAGAGACCTGGTCTAAAGACTTCTTTTGAGCTCCATGGCTTCTAGCCATGCCTGAACAGAATCGTAATCATGAACTTTTCCATTACGTCAGTGAATATATTTCCATTTTTGTCCAACTCAGTTTGAGTTGAATTTCTTTCACAGCTGAATTCAGGTTGCTTACAACTTCATCCCCCATTAAATTAAAACAGTGTGTGGGTGGGGTGTGGAGTGAGAGAGACCACGCAGACCCTCAGCCCTTGGCACTGGGCTTCGAGAAGGCAGTCGGCATGTAGGTTCCGCCTTGGCAAAGTCAAGCGCCCAGGCCTTGGTCTCCTCATCTGGCAGGTTGGACAGAATGATCCACAAGGCCTTTCCCAGCCCTGGACCCAGTCTGGGAAACTGCTGCCACCACGGGGGTTCCAAAGGAGGGATGGCTGGTCCTGCCATCTACATGTGGTCTTTTCACATGGCTCAATACCAACAAAACTGCCCATTTTATCATAGCTTGTGAAACGAAGGTGGTAAAGGAAAGTATTTCTATTTTGGGTTTTACTCATAAATGGTTATCATTTTCATTTCCAGCCCCCTAGACCCCATTTTCATCTTTCTGCCTCATAAGCTGGAGATGGGAAGAAGCCACCGTCCATTCTGCCTCTGCTGCTACTCCTCCAGAGCAGCTCTGCCCCAGATCTGTGTGCATCTGAAATGCACGCTCAGTTTCCTTGGCACCTGGAGAGGATGAGCCTTGGTTGTGTGCTTACAAACCAGAATAAGACCACTGAATTGGAGTGAGGGCAGATGGAAACCGGGGACTGGGCACTGGTGTTTGTTACCTACGGTGCCACCGACTCCAAGCTCCTGACACGTTTTGTTTCAGGCCCAAGTGCGTCTACAGGGCCTAGTGCAGGAGGAGTGGTTTACCTGTGGGCAGGTGATTCTCAGGTCTCAAAGTAGGGTGGTAGAGGGTGCTCTCCCGAGATGCTAACACTTGACCTGGCATGTCAGCAGAGTCGGTGGAAACACAAATAAGGCAGCTAAAGGGGCTGTCTGGGACTGGTGAGTCGTCGGAGCTATCTGGGGCAGACAGGGTGTCCTTAAGCCGAGGTTTGGATGTGTGCATCGCTGCCGCCAGGCAGGAAAAGCTAGGCCTCCAGGGCACCCTGGGCCCAGGCCTGCGCCCCAAGTGCGGCGGTGTCCCGGTGGCGCCCCTTGGAGCTCTGGCAGGGAAGCGAGCCAGGGCATCGCGAAGGGCCAGGGTCCTGGGCACCGCACAGGGCGCGAGAGTGGAAACGCGCCCGGGCTGGCTCACTGCGGACAGCGCCCTCCTTTCCCCTCTCTTGGGGGTCGGGGAACCTGACCCACCGCCCTCTCTCTCCGGCGGGGCACTCTCACCCCAGCCCCGGACGCTCCCCAGCCCCTCGGGCAGAGCTGCCCCGGCCCACCTTGCCCTGGACTCCGAGCCGCGCCAAAGCACACGGAGCCTAGACCCCCGGACCCGCTCCCCGAGGCCGGCTGCACCACCCATGGCTGCAGCCCCCTGGCCTGGGATCCGGGGGCGGGGAGTTCCGGGAGCCGGGAGCTATTTTTACAAGATGCGTCAGTGGGCCGAGGAGGAAGAGCCTGCTCCGGGGCCCATTGTCTGGGCGCTGCGCGGGAGGGGACGCCGGCGGCGATTTCGAAAGCTCCGAAGGGCGCGAAAGCGGCCGGCCGAGACGGGAGGTCCACGCCCCACCCAGGGCCGCGGGAGGGGCGGGGCCATTGGGGCGGGGCGGGGCCCGCGAGGGGCGGAGCCGGGCGCCCTCCCGCCGCCGCAGGCTGGCTGCTGCGGCGGCGGCGGCGGCGGCGGCGGCGGCGGCGGCGGCGGCGGCGGCGAGGGGACGGCGGGGACAGCGAGGCGGCCGCGCCGGCAGCAACAGCCGGGGAAGCCCACGCCCCGCCTGCGCCTCCGAGGCGCACCCCGGGAGCGGGAGCAGCCCCGCGGCGGCACCGCCCAGGCAGAGGCGAGGGCCTGGCACGCGGAGCCCCGAGCCGGCAGCCGCGGAGAGCCCGGGCAGCGGCGGGAGTGCGGGGGCGCGGCCCGAGAAGGCGCAGAGCGAGCCGGGGCCGGGGGAGGGCGCCGGGCGCGAGCATCCCGCGCCGCGGCAGCGGAGGCGGCTTCACGGGAGACAAAAGCCCGCCGAGAGACGCGATGCCCGGCCGGCGCGGGCGCGGGGGCAGCGGCGTCTGAGCGCGGGGCCCAGGTACGCCCAGCCGCGTCGGGCCCGTAACTGCTCGGGGGGCGGCGCCCTCCCGCCGCAGCCGCAGTGGCCGGCGCCGCAGCGAGGAGCCATGGGCAACATCTCTTCCAACATCTCGGCCTTCCAGTCCCTGCACATCGTCATGCTGGGTTTGGACTCGGCCGGCAAGACCACGGTGCTCTACCGGCTCAAGTTCAACGAGTTCGTGAACACGGTGCCCACCATCGGCTTCAACACGGAGAAGATCAAGCTGAGCAACGGCACGGCCAAGGGCATCAGCTGCCACTTCTGGGACGTGGGCGGCCAGGAGAAGCTGCGGCCGCTGTGGAAGTCCTACAGCCGCTGCACGGACGGCATCATCTACGTGGTGGACTCGGTGGACGTGGACCGGCTGGAGGAGGCCAAGACGGAGCTTCACAAGGTGACCAAGTTCGCAGAGAACCAGGGCACGCCGCTGCTCGTCATCGCCAACAAGCAGGACCTGCCCAAGTCGCTGCCCGTGGCCGAGATCGAGAAGCAGCTGGCGCTGCACGAGCTCATCCCGGCCACCACCTACCACGTCCAGCCGGCGTGCGCCATCATCGGCGAGGGCCTCACCGAGGGCATGGACAAGCTCTATGAGATGATCCTGAAACGCAGGAAGTCCCTCAAGCAGAAGAAGAAGCGGTAATGCGCGCGGCAGCGTTCCGAGCCGGTGGGGGGCGAGCGAGCGAGTCAGGAATGAATGAATGAAAGGCAGGATGGCCGATCGAGAACCCGCGCCCGCGAACAAAGACAGCGAACCAAAGCGACGCTTCGAATTTTTAAAGCGGAATGCAGGACTAGTGACTCGACCTGGGTATGTAGGCAGACTTGCCAACCTGAGCTCGACCTGCCGTCACCCCTAGCTCAGGGGACCTTTTGTCTGAACGCCAGAGCTGCTAAAGGGTTGGGGGCCCCACTGGGGAGTGGACGTGCAGGTCCCGCCGTATGCCCTCCTGGCCCAGGTTGGAAGGCTCAGATGTCAGAGACAAAAGCGATTTCTTCCTACTGCAGCAGGGCCAGAAGTTCAGGCTTCCCTGCCCTCAATGGAGATCGCACCTGTGAATTTCCTGAGGTATGCGGTTCCCAGAACCCCGGGAGTACCCGTCTGGGGACATGGTGGCAGTGGGAGGTGCTGGGGGGGACAGCCTCTCCTTGGGCTGTGAAAGCTGGACAATTTTATGTCACAGGGCAGGCCCCTGTGAAAATTCATCTGTCCTGCCCTGGGCCCAAACGAGGTGCTGGTTTGGGCCATCAGAGGACTGCCTGGAACAGTACGGCAGCTGGAAGGCACGGGGCGCTGCGCTGGCCTCCTCTGGGGAATGCCCGCGAAGAATGCCCCTTTCCTGGTGCTTTGTGGTAGCTTCAGAAGACCAGTTATGTTGAGAACTGCTTTTCAGCCTGGAATCAGACATCTTCCAGATGGTTTGGACTCTGTCCATGTGTAGGTCATTATCACACAAAGAGACCAATAAAAAAAAAAATAGAAAAAAACAAAAAACTGTTGGAGGTGGTGGCCAATGATGCATTTTCTGTTTGCAGAATAGTTAAAGGTGTTTAAAGGGTAAGGCTCTTGACATCAATGCTGGATGCGGTGTGTGTGTGTAGATGCAGGGACCTCCCTCTGCACTGTGTAATCGGCACACATTTCTAGACCCATATGTGTGGAATCTTAAATTCTCTTAGCCTACTGTTTGGCTTGTGTGAGCACACCAGCTGCAGATGTGTGCTGAATGACAAGCGGGTTTTGGCAAGGGATGTCTCTTGTAATCCTAACCGCTTGATGATGGGTTATGGTTTTCAGACATGTTTTTTTTTTTTTTAATCTGCTACGAATGAATACTCACCTTAGAAATACTCAGTTTAGGAAAAAAAGACTTTGCTTTTCCCTTTTAGATCCCTTTACACTGCAAGTGGTGACATGTTCAGATTTCTAATTGGTTCATTGTGGCCTATCTGGTTTCAGTATTTTCATTACAAATGTCTCGCTAGAGTATTTGATGTCATGCACCAACAAATAAAAGCCCACCTTGTTGCAAAAGCCGACCTCATTGCATGGATTTAAAGGCAAGGGAAAAGCACAAGGAGGTCCTTCCTAATTCCTTCTTGTGGAAACTGGTTGCAGAGCAAATGCAGACACAGTGAGTGCTTGAGATAAAGGAAAGCCTGTGACGTAATGGTCACCTGTCCTCAGGCTCCTCACGTTTACTTGAAAGAGGCTTTGGAAACAGATAAAGTGAAAGAAGAAGAAATACCTATTTTTAATAATGTAATTTAAAAAATCCTTTATAATCAGGACTGAGTCTTGGTTTGCAGAAGCTGTCATTTACCCTGAAACACAGTATCAAACAGGAAACTTAACGCTTCCTGTGTGATTTTGATTTCCTCTTTGAATCTGCGTTTACAGGTGGAATTATGTTTTTTTCCCCCACTATGATAAATTTCTTTGCAAAGGAGGCCTTTAGAAATTGAGTATGATCATGTGTGTGAGCATGTGAGAGTCAAATTATAAATCCATGCCTATTTTCCACTGCACTCAAAAAGTTAATTTAAGAACCAGAGGTAGAAGTCCCGGCTTCCTGCCTGAAACCCAATTCTCCTATGAAATATTTTAAAAGAAGAAACCTAGCAGTCCATCTTCCTTTTCTCTTTTGTCCGTGTATTTGGTACCCCTCCAATGCTGGTCTTTTTGTAGAAACTCAGTAGAGAAAATATAGCTGAGCAGTGTTGAAAAGCCTGCAAGATTTCAGTTTACATATCGACAGCATAGTCACTGATTTCTAAATGGGCTGGTCCCATCATCTGAAGATTCTGTATAGAATTATTAAAAAAAAAAAAATCCATCTTTCTTTATTTTCTTCACATGCAACAATTTCTTAAGCACTTTGACATTTTGGTAGTTCCACACTATTGAGAGAATAATATATTTATTTTGTGACATTGCAGATGCCAAATACTGTAACCTTCTCGTGCTGACAATACTTTGGTTCAAGATCACTGTTCATATCCTCTCATGCTTTACCAGTGATGCGAAATGAGTGTTTTTTGCATTATCGGTACTTAAGGGTGCAGTCAACTGTTAGTAACTGTGCAGTAGAGCTCTGTGGTGTAGCAACCAATAGTTGAATCTCAGTTGATTTCTGTAGTGTTTGCCCAAATAATAGCCCATTTCATCTCTGACCAAATGGAGGAAACACAGGCTAAATCACCTTGGAGCGGTCACCCGGAGAGTCCCCTCCAACGCAGCCGCTGATTTATTATGCCTCCTGCTCTTGGGAGAATGAATGGGCTCCACGTATAGAGGAAGTTGGCCTCCCTGCACGAGCTTTTGAAATGTTTTCTCATAGACACAGGGAGGCCAGTTTTGTTTCCGAACGATTCTCTTCACAAAATCTCTGTCATGGTGTTGGGACTATGTCTCCTGGTTTGTTTCCATTTCTACTGCTGTAATTCTCTGTCCTAATCATTTTCCTCTTTGGGTTCCCGTTTCCTTTTATATGCATATATGATCCTGTGAACAGAAATAAATTATTTATACAATCAAACGTTTGGGGAAATTGTCTGTGGATGTTTTTTCAAGTTGCCTCTCTTTGTTTCTAGGCCTGAGTGGAGGGATAGATCGCAAGATGGTCTCTGCTGTCTAATGGGGTCCAGGGCTGGATGAATCATCTCTGCTTTTTTGGTTTAAGTGTCTAGCCCTTCCCTGCATGGAAGATTTAGAGGCTCGGATGCAGGAATCTGGGTGCCTGTCCCCCTTATGATACCTGTCAGGAGTCCTCACAAATCCTTGAGGAAAATGGCCTTAATGCCCAGCCAGCACCAAGCCTCTCAGTTATTAAAAAAGGTCGTGACTGTTAATCACTTCAAATATATGATCTGATTATGTAAAATTGGAAACATCTGTGTGGTACTGCAAGAGCAGAGTAGTCACCACACTGCTTAGCATCTTGGCTGCTCTCTTGGTATCTGGGCTGAGTCCATCACTCTTGAACCCATCAGAGAGACTCCAAGACCTGAGTCCTCTTAAATAGTAGGTGTGGTGAGACCGTCCCGCTCTGTACATACCAGCGGGAAAAGGTCCACTTTCTAAAGAAAAAGTGATTGGGCCAGAATCGGTAGACCCTCTGACTGGTTCAAAGTGTAACTCATGGAGGCCCTTAGCAGACATTAAGCAACAAAACTCATTGATTGGCTGGGTCTTAACTCTGGAGCCAAAAAGCCAGTTTCAAATTCTGACTCATGCTCAGGGCCCCATGAGTTTGCTGAAGTTCCTCAGCCCCTGGACCTCAATTTCCCCATCTGTAAAATGGGCTCATAATGGTTGTTGGGAGGATGAAACACAATAGTGCATGTGAAGTGCTCGTAAAGCACCTGAGCAAGGCTTGACTTTATTGTTCACTTTGCAACAGAAGCTAAAGTTTAGAAGCCAAATTACATCAAAAGGGCACAGATGCCATTTCTAAATACCGAAACCTAAAAACTGCTTATAGGAGTAGAAATATTAGAAATCAAAAGAAGTAAAAATTGGGACCCTCTTTTTTTTTTTTGGTGCAACCTTAATTTAAGGAAGGAATCCCCGAGGAGACAGGTAATACTTGGTACTTAGATGATACTGTTCATCTTATATTTTCCAGGAAAGTACGTACAAATGCACTGACGCCTAACAGCTGACAAGGCTAATTTTAGTCCTAAGCAACTGCCTTTTCCGCAATTTGAACTTCCGCCCCAAAGTTTTGGCTCTTCATTTGTAAGTGTTTGCGATAGACAATAGGTGTCTCGAGTTACTGTTTCTGTGCCTTTACATTTGTCTCCAGGGCCTGTGCTCTTGGAACAATTCTGTACCAACATCATAGGCTATTTTGATGTCACATTTGTATGGTAGTAAAGGAAGGACAAATTGTGTGCAAAAAGCAGAAGACAAAAGGCCTGAAATGATCAAAACAGTAAGAACACCCCAGGATTTGATCCCCTTTGATTTCTCAGCTCTCGGCCTGTCCACCTAACCTCTCCCCTTTCCTCCTCTGCGGCCATGTGCACATCTGATGCCCACAATTTGGCCTTGGCTTGCCAGGAGACAAACTGAAGGCATTTCTGTTCTCTCCTCAAATTTGTGTCTTATCTGGAAAACGGCCTTCTTCTGGTTCTCCTGGCTCAGCTGAAACCTTTTTGAAAAACCTGAATTTGCGCAAGACAATGGAGCACTTTATACGTTTGTTTTGCATGGTTTCTGAACTTCAGAGTGGGGCAACTTCAGTTCCTAAGAGGAAACTGCAAACGGAGGGTATCTGAGAAACTGGCATGTGGCTTCTTCCCAGAGATTAGAAGTGAGAATGAAAGAGTTGTGTGGTTTAACCCCACCTAAGTTTTCAGAACATGCCTTGGGTGTTTCTTTGAATGATCTGAACGTCTATGCTGAGGTACTTTCATTGTGTGACAGCACGGCATGAAAGAAATAACCAAAACAAGTCATTTTTTAACCCATCTATAGCATGGGTTTGAGAAGACAAGCATCTCTTTTGCATTTATTAATTAAAATTGCTCTCACATAGTAATGTTAAGGACAGCTCTGTTTCTATTCCCATTAATAGAATGTGTAATCATGGTAATAGCCACTGCTAATCTTTATGGAGCACTTCATGTGGGCTGGGCACCATCCGCATGCTCAGTGTTTTATCTGCTTGATCTTTTTTCCTCCCAAGAGCCCCAAGAGATCAATTCATGCATCAAATAAATTAATCAGTCAACGGTATCTGCACTTGTAGATGAAGAAATGGAGGTGAACGAAGATTAGACACCCTCCTCCGAGGTCACTGGCTGTTTAGGGTGGAGCCCGGATTGAAGCCCACGGGTCCCTGAGACCCCGAGGCTGAGCCCTCGGAGACTCCCCAGCCTGCTGCGCATGGAGTAGAAGAAAGCTGGGACTCTGCAACCCGGGAGAGGAGGATGGAGGCAGGTGTCACTGGCCGCAGCATCACCTGCCTGCACCCTCCTGACAGGGGGACCACCACTTCCCACCTCCTCCCCAGAACTCACACTGACAGGCCTGGCCCCAGTGCCAGCACCTTGCCTTCCCTTCTTAGAGAACACAGCCCAGTGTCTAGAAAAACACTATCCCTCTTAAACCAGTTTCCATTCTTGAAGAATTTTCTTTCTGGTATTCCTTTCAAGAAACTGTGTTGGGGGCAATGGCTCCTTGCCTTACGCAGGGAGGGGCATTTATATACTGCAGGGGACGGACCCTGGCGGTGGCGGGTATCAGTGTTCCCGCATTGGGATCTGAGTCAGCTAACCTCTCAGCCTAGATCCCCGCCCCTGCCGCCACTACCCTGTGAGGCTGAGGATGCCTGCCCTGCCCGTCCCTCAGGGTGATTCTAAAGATAACAGGAAGTAATAGAAAGCACTGTCCAACCTGCAAGGCGAGTTGAGACACTTGTAAACGTGTGTTCCGCTTGGCCAGGGCCCCCTTCTCTCTGCGCCGCTGCCCTGGCTCCCAGGGGTGTTCTGCTCGTGCCGTTCTGGACCAGCCCGGTATCACGGACTCCCTTTTCGTTACCACTGATAAGAGAACTTCCACCTCACAGAGTCAACCAAAGGAGACTTCAGGAAGGAAAACGTCTCTCCTTGGGAGACTCAGGGCATAGAGCCTTTAGTGTAAGCTTTTATCAAGTGACTGTTGGGGACCATAAGCCTCCTTACATCTGCTGTTGGCAGAATTCTCATCATTCTACTGGCTATACTCCTGATTATATTCATTTCCTGAAATGCTAACTCCCTCTGCAATTACTTTCAATGCCCACGTCTCATAAAAGCTAAAATAATTTCAATGTATAATTGAAAAGTCATCATGGTAAGTAACGACAATTGCAACAGCTTATTTCGTAAGTATATGTGTGGATCCATAGATGAAATGTTGCGTTGCTATATAATTTGAAGGGCACTGTGATGGATGCCACATTCATCATGTAAAAAATGCTGTTAAAACAAGATCCACCAACAGTTGTGACCTCCACTGTACTAAGGACACTCCACTCTGGGGCACTCAGGGAGATTTATAACATGGTTCTTGTTCTCAGAAGCCTGATATTCTAGCTGGTGCATGAGGGCTAAACTATCAAGTGAGGTGTTTGACTCCAACGTGAAACCAAAGTCATTGCTCCAACCATGGTCACATTTTTCATGCCACATGAGCCTTGGAGTAAAAGTAGAAATAAGAGCCTGTTACTCTGTGTCCTGATTCACGTAATTTGAAGACCTCCGTCTCTCCATCAGTCTCCTTCTCCAGCTCTTTCCGAGATTCCCTAGGGGGTGGTCACTGTGCTCATGACCGCTGCTTCCTCCATTTCCTTCTTTCCTGCCCCGACCTCTTGTCTGTTTCATAGACCTTCTGGCAGTGAGAATCAGCACGGCAGCCAGAACCGCTGGCCCGCAGCACTGCTGACCCTACTTGTGGCACCCCAGCCTCAGTGTCCAACAGACATTTCAGTGCATGCTTCCTTAGGGAGGGTCTACTCGCACGTGTAAGGGACTCAGATGTCTGAGAGCCTGGGGACTCTCTGAGTGGCCGGCCCAGGCCCGTCCTAGAATCCTGCTTCTTGTCTGACACTGACTGTTTCCATGAGCCTCTCTTGGGTGTCTCAGCCCTCTAGTCCTGTGCATGGGGCTCTTCCCAGGAGACACCTCAACTGACTAGAAATCCTGGGACAAATGTGAATCCTAGTGTGGACCCCCAGGACCCTAAAGGCAGATGTGTGATCTGTCTTGGATTCAGGATTCTCCCATAAAATTGGAATTTCCTGCAGAGGTATTGATAATGACCGCCTCTTTCTAAAACTCACTCTAAGTCTTAATTCTGCTCTTCCGGCATCTGTTTGAGTAGTCGGGATGATGAGATCAGAGGTTGAAGAGTTTGCTTTAAGGTAAAGTCTTCTGAAGCCAACACTGTGGGTAACCCATGCACACCCATGCCTTTTTTTTTTTTTAATTTATTTTGGGGTCTTTGTTGCTGCATGCGGGCTTTTTCTAGTTGTGGCGAGCGGGGGCTACTCTTCATTGCGGTGCGCCAGCTTCTCAGTGCAGTGGCTTCTCTTGTTGTGGAGAACAGGCTCTAGGCTCGTGGGCTTCAATAGTTGTGGCGCACGGGCTTAGTTGCTCCGTGGCATGTGGGATCTTCCTGGACCAGGGATCGAACCCGTGTCCCCTGCATCGGCAGGCGGATTCTTAACCACTGCGCCACCAGGGAAGTCCCCATGCCTCTGTCTTCTCTCTTGCTGGCAGACCTCAATTTTGCTTGGGAGACATCCTCTGCCTCATGGCTATGTGCTCAGGGAAAGTGACCCTGTACCAAGTTTAAGGGGAGATTGGTCTGAACCATGAATTTAATTCATTCTTCTGGCCAGTGACTGGCTTAGGAAGGGTCATGTGACATGATTCTGACCAAGGAGACTAGAGGAAAAGTCTTTTTGGAGAGGATTAAGTGGATGGACTTTAGGAATTTTTCCTTAGGTTTTAAAGCTAGACACAGGCACCGTGTAGCTCTCCTTTGCTT